ATTAACATAAAATACTATGCAAGGACTGTGGAAAAACATTATATAGGCCAAACCAGGAGAAAACTGACAATAAGGATACATGACACCAACTAGCCACCAAGAGACACGACCAATTCTCACTGGTCTTAGTGCACATGGACAAAGAAGGAAACAAATTCCACTGGGACAACACATCCATAATAGCACGAACCAAACAGAGACATGCTAGGGAATTTCTGGAGGCCTGACATTCCAAATGGAACTCCATCAACCTAGCAGGGTGACGAAACATCTGCAACCAAACACGCCGGCTCAGCAAGCAAGTCTACAACCTCAGAATTGTACTCTAGTACAATCTGCAACCTCAGCGCCCGACAGAGTACTCCCCCACTCAATCATTACCATCAAGCCAGGTGATCAACCCAGGTTCAATGGAGAGTACAAGAGGGTATGCCAAGAGCAGCAACAGGCAGACCTAAAAATGAGGTGTCAATCCAGTGAAGCTACCAAAAAGGACTACATGCATGACAAACAGCATAACAACAAGTGATGGACAGAGTTAGGCAATCTCACAACCAACAGATCAAACCTAAACTCTGCAGTCCTGCCTAATCCGGCTGTTAAATTGCGCACCACCATTCTCGACTCACTGGAAGAGGAAACTCCATGAATATCCACATCTTCAATGATGAAAGAGCCCAACACATCAGTGCAAAAGATAAAGCTCAAACATTCAGTGCAATCTTCAGCCAGAAGTGCCAATAATCCATCTCGGCCTCTTCTAGTGGTCCCCAGCATTACAGATACCAGTTTGATTCAGCCAATTTGATTCACTCCATGTGAAATGAAGAAATGATTGGAGACACTGGATATTCCAAAGGTTATGGACCCTGACAATATTCTGGCAATGGTACTGAAAGTTTGTGCTCCAGAACTTGCCGTTCCCCTAGCCAAGCTCTTCCAGTATAGTTACAACACTGGCATCAATCCGTCAGCAGAAAATTATCCATATGTCCTGTACACAAAAATCAGGATGAATCCAACATGGCCAATTACTGGCATATCAGTCTACTCTCGATCATCAGTAAAATGATGGAAGGTGTCATCAACAGTGCTATCAATCAACACCTGCTCAGCAATAACTGCTCAGTGACGCCCAGTTTGGGATCCCCCAGGGCCACTCAACTCCAGACCTCATTATACCCTTAGTTCAAACACGGACAGAAGAGCTGAATTCCAGAGTTGAGGTGGAGTGTGATAGCTCTTGACATCAAGGCTGCATTCGACCAAATATGGCATCAAGGAGCCCAAGCAAAATAGGAATCGAGGGTAACTCTCCATTGGTTGAAGTCATACTGCACATAGGAAGATAGTTGTGATTGTTGGAGGTCAGTTATCTCCACTCCAGGATATCTCTGCAGGAGTACCTCAAAATAGTATCTAGGTCCATTCGAGTTCAGCTGCTTCATCAGTAACCTTCCCACCATCATAAGGGCAGATGTGGGGATGTTTGCCAATGATTGCACAAATGTTCAGCACCATGCATGACTCCTCAGATGCTGAAGCAATCCAAATTTAAATGCATGAAGATCAGACGGCATGGTGGCTCGGTGGTTAGCACTGCTGCCTCACAGCGCCAAGGGCCCACGTTCGACTCCAACCTTGGGTGGCTCTCTGTGTGGAGGTTGAATGCTCTCCCATGTCTGCATGAGTTTCCACCGGGTGCTCAGATTTCCTCCCACAGTCTAGAGTTATGCACGTTAGGTGTATTGGCTATGATAAATTGCCCATAGTGTTCAGGGATGTATAGGTTAGGTGCGTTAGCCATGGGAAATGCAGGGTTACAGGGATAGGGTAGGGGAATGGGTCAGGGTGGGATTTTTTTTGGACGGTTGGTGTGTAGACTTGTTGGTCCGAATGGCCTGTTTCCTCACTGTGGGGATTTCTGTGATCTGGTCTATATCCAGGCTTGGACTGACAACCGCCAAGCAACATTCACTCCAAACAAATGCCAGGCAATGACCATTTTCAATAAAAGACAAATCTAAAAACCACCCACTGACATATCATGGTGTTACCCTTACTGAATCCCTCACTATCAACATCCTGGGGGTTACTATTGATCAGAAATTCATCTGGACTGGCCGCATAAACATAGTGGCTATAATATCAGGTCAAAGGCTAAGAATACTGCAGTAATTAATTCACCTCCTGATTCCCCAAAGCCTGTCCATCTTCTACAAAGCATAAGTCAGGAGTGTGATGAAATACTCCCCACGTGCCTAGATGAGTGCAGCCCCAACAACACTCAAGAAACTTCTCACGATCCAGGACAAAGCTGCCTGCTTGACTGGCACCACATCCACTCCCTCTACCACTGACGCTCAGTAGCGGCAGAGTGTACAATCTACAAGATGCACTGCAGAAATTCACCAAAGACTCTTAGTCAGTATCTTCCAGATCCACGTCCACTTTCATCAAGGTGAAAGCCCCGTGGTATTATTGCCAGACTATTAATCCAGAAACTCAGCTAATGTTCTGGGGACCCAGGTTCAAATCCCACCACAGCAAATGGTGGAATTTGAATTCAATAAAAAAATCTGGAATTAAGAATCTACTGAATGGCTGTGAAATCACTGTCGATTGTCGGAAAACCCCATTTGGTCCACTAAAGTCCTTCAGGGAAGGAAATCTGCCATCCTCATCTGGTGTAGACTACATGTGACTCGAGACACACAGCAATGTGGTGGACTCTCAACTGCCTTCTGAAATGGCCTAGCAAGCCATTCAGTTGTACCAATTGCTACAAAGTCTCAAAAGAAAGGTGAGAACGCTGTCAGACTCACATGATGCCCTAATGGAACACTAAGTATACCCCGTGAACCATCCCATCTAGCAGGACCTCCAAAATTCTGCCCGCAAAGGAGGGCACCGATTTCGCCTGTCTACCATGCCCAACTACCAGAAACCATGCAAGACAGCTCCAGACAGTCAGGGCGTACCACAGGTTTTTAAAGGTAGCACGAGTGCAAAGGATGCCAGTTCATTCCAGGATAAGCTAGCAATAGGTGAATTGTTCTGGAATGGTGCATGGTAAGATGAGACTGGAATTATATGAGTGTGACATTACTTGGGATGCAGGAGGAGGGTGTAATTAATGAGGTGGTGTGATAAGGTATGGCAAGAAATCTTGCTAGGTCTCATGGCAAAAAACCCTTCCAAAAACACAGCACAACTCATGTTTCCCCCAAAAAAACCTAAGATTCAGCCCAAGTTCTTTTCCTTTTATCTCAATTTTTCCTTCACACATACTTGCTACTTTAAAGAATCAGATTTCTTGAGTGAGGAGGAATATGCTAAAATATATTTGCACCTGGATCAATCCTTCCTTTCCACAGAGGCTTCCTATTCTATTCCTCTCATTAATGGCACTGTAAAATGATTTCATGGTTAGCTGCAGTCCATTTTGTCCGCTAGAGGAAGATCTAAAAGGAACTTTAAGTGTGTAGACCTAGTAGAAATATTCCCTCGACACTTCACACAATAATAGCACTTACGTAGCATATTTAATATAGATAACTGTCCCAGGTGCTCAAAAGAATCATAATTAACACTGGGTTGAATCTTATGATATTTTGGCAAAAGTTTCATTTTCATGGAGTTTCATCAAACACTGCGAGTTTTCTCCTGTAATTGTCCCAAACATGCTTCATTAATTACCTGCTCCATGCCTACAGCAGGCTTCTTGCCCAACGTTAGCTGAATTCTCTCACTTGCCATGACCTAAAGTACTTGCCATCGCTGGGATATCCCAGAATAAAATGTCATTTCTTGTGCCAATGCCATCTTGGAATCCTGGCCATGCATCTGGTCAAGAATTCGCAGTCCAAATTTGCCCTTCACCACCAATGTAGCAGCACACAGCCAGAAACTAGCACTCATCACAGCACATAGGCAGCACGGCTCAAACTTATTTGTACATAAAACTACATTCCTACCCTAAGATGCACAACTCTCTGGGTCTGTAGGCAGCCCTTCCAAGTCTAAGCTACATCACCCCCAATGCCCACTGCATCTTATCATTGTTAAATGTGGGGTCACGTTCACTTAAAACAACAGAAATCAAACAAATAGAAGCTGAATTTCCCCCTCGACCTAAAGTGAGCTGTTTAACTGTAAAATGCTTCTTGCTCAACATGCAATGGGTGTTTGCCAAATCCATGTCGCATCTCCTGGAACCGAGTGTAAATCAAGTCCTGTCAGACTCTAGCGTCTGATGCAACAGCTCTCTGTCATGCACAAACTGATGCTTCTTCTGCTCAACGTCATCATTCTCCTCGGAGGAGGACTGCTCCTATTTTCCAAGTTCTACAGGATCCATCAAATCCCCTTGCTACCTGCTCCAGATGTGTACGCTAGGATAATACAGCACAGTCTGTCTGGAGCATACAGCAGGGCACCTCCGACCACCAACCAGCCTATGCAGTGGAACATCATCTGCAGGAGGCCTACCACCTGCTCCACTAGGTGGTTGAAGAACATGCTGAATTGTATCCATGCTCCCAAGCAACTTCCCATAAAAGTCAGGGCTTTAGTTCCCAGGTTCAGTAAAGACTAAAAGTAACAGACAGCCATTAAGTGAAGTCTCCACCAATGCCAGGAATTTGTAAAGTCCCCAATGAAAAGAAGTAAAACGAGGGTCCTCTTAATTTTCCTCCTCAGTCAAATAGTGAACACCTTAGCAGACAGACATCATTTGAAAGCAAAATCAATGCTCATTTCTGCAAGGGTCCCAGGGCAGTCTGAAAATGTTCAACAGATATGGATTCCTCATTTTTAAAACCCCCACCCTCAATTCTCCAAATACTATCTGGGTCCCAGGATCTTCTAGATGCTGCTTTTCACACAAATAGCCTGTGCCAAGATACAACTTAATTACAATTTTATCACAATCAAAGCTTTTATATATATTTATGGACTAGACACATAACTACAGTCTATGTATAAATTATGCTAATTACCCCTCCTGTCTGCATTCAGCAATCCACTGTTTCATGATGCTGTGGAAGGTATCTAAATTCACAGTAATGTCTTTTTCTTCAGGATTTAGCATTTTTTGCAGAAGTTTTAGCTGCCCTTTCTCACAGCTTTGACCTGTCACATCTTCCAGATATCCAATGATTCTGGATACGTATACTTCCCCTACACACACACACACACACACACACACACACACACACACACACACACACACGAGGGACAAAAAAGGTCAGACTTCATTAACCACTGAAAAACAGCTTATTTAAAATGCAGTCAACTTTTATAATAGACAATATACAAAAGCGTTAGAACACTTCAGGGTGAAAACGGTAATTAGATCCATCAAAATCCTGCTGGAGTACCACAGCTCTCTCCATCTGAGCATCCAACCAGATTTTAATAGTCACTACTATTGCTGGTTCCATCAAAATATCTGGTAAAATGTCAATACTTATATCTCAATTTGAATATTTTTAACTAAATTTTACCATTTTAGATATACTACTTATTACTTTAAATCCATTTTTAATTCACTTACAATTTTTATTTGGCCTGGCTTAGATGGAAGTTATATTTTGGCAATAACATTTAGTATTTGGTATGGCTTGACACACTCTATTAAACTTTTCTCAAGAGTTTGGAGAATTTGTTTTTCTAACTTTCTTTCACAGCTCTGTTCTTTTAAACTTAGGATCATTACTGTTGTTCACACCTATACTTTCTCCAATTCATGCACTTTTTTACAGAATATGGTCATAATTGAACATATTTCCATGTGCAGTACATTGTACAATATAAGCCCTGCAGATTGCACTATAGTTTTTGGCATTATCTAAATACTTTGATTAGATTACAGCCTGAAAACCATTTCAAACAAGTAACATGTTACCTTTCCCCTCGATATCACACGATTCAAATGTACAATTTAGAACATCTTCCTCTGAGCAGATATTCATGTCAGTTGATTTCTCAATGGAGTTGTGTGCTATAATTTCACACATCATTTCTGAAAGAATAAGGAAGATGTTTTCTGTCAGACTCACATGATGTCCATTTGGCACAGCAGGTAAACAAAATAAAGCTGTCCCATTCAACAAGATGTACTATTTCAAATACTGAGGAAAACTACAGCCATGCCTTTATAATATAGAGTGATGGTAATGGAGGAGAAAAATCCTAAAAAAGAGCAGCATGTTTTCATAAAAAGAAACATTTCTGCAGATTTCCTGTCTGAAATTCAGCCTCATTACTAGGTCCTCCATTGGCCTGCAACACAAAGACATATCTGAGCAAGCAGTGAAGCAGAGGGTGGAGTTGCAGATGGAGTTTAATTTAGATAAATGTGACATATTGTATTTTGGTAAGGCAAACCAGGGCAGGACTTATACAATTAATTGTAGGGCCCTGGGGAGTGTTGCCAAATAGAGACCTACGGGTGCAAGTGCGTAGTTCTTTGAAAGTGGAGTCAAAGGTAAACAGGGGGGTGGGGGTGAATGAGGTGTTTGGCAGGATTGCCTTCATTGGTCAGAACATTGTGTACAGGAGTTGGGATGTCATGTTGCAGCTGTACAGGACACTGGTGAGGCCACATTTAGAATACTGCATACAATTCTGGTCGTCCTTCTGTACGAATGGTGTTGTTAGATTTGAGGGTGCAGAGAAGATTTACAAAGTCGTTAGCAGGACTGGAGGGTTTGAGTTATAGGGAGAGGCTGAATAGGTTGGAGCTTTCCTTCCTGGAGCATTAGAAACTGATGGAAGACCTTATAGACATTTATAAAATCATAAGTGCACAGATAGGGTGAATAGCCAAGGTCTTTTTCCTTGGGTGAGGGAGTCCAAAACTAGAGGACATATGTTTAAGGTGAGATGGGCATGATTTAAAAAGGACCTGAGGGGTAGCTTTTTCATGCAGTGAGTCATGCTTTTATGGAATGAGCTGCCAGAGGAAGTGATGGACGTGGGTACAATTACAACATTCAAAAGGCATCTGGATGGATACATTAATAGGAAGGGCTTAGAGGGATATGGGCCAAATGCTGGCACAAATGGGACATATGGTCGGCGCAGAGAAGACTGACCAAAGTGTCTGTTTCTGCGCTGTATGATTCTATGAGAGGTGCAGGGACGTGGTTGCCCAGAAAGAAGTCCAGGGAAAAAAAAAGCTGTTCAGACATTGTGTTTAGATAAGGTTGGGGGTTTAGTTCAGTTGGCTCGACGGCTGCTCTGGATCAAATAGGTGCCAGCAGCCACGGGTTCAATTCCCATTTCAGCTGGGATCAATTTGGGATTTGCTACCTTGCCATGCCTGTGGTGGAGTTTGCAACATTATGGGTTGGATCGGCCAACAAGAAGAGAACTCAAGAAGATGTGTATGATATAGATTCATTAAAAAATGCAATAATGTGAAGGCAGTTAAAGAGACTGTATTGAGACAGATTTACAGATCAAAGTCGTAGATATTATGAACTCCTGAAAAGCTGTTCAAGGGATGCAGCAGTTCAAGGTAGTGATGGGTGGGGCAGGGGGAACATGATGATTGTCAGGTGGGGAGGAATGGCACAATGAGAGTATGAAAAATATCCCCAGCAGTGCCAAAATTTCCAGCATGATTCTTATAGTCAGCTATTGAAGTAAAGATTTTCTTTTAAAACAGAAAAACTAAATGTTACTCAAGCAGAAAGAAGGAACAATTGGCAAACCTTGATAAATATGTTTCATGTGAAATAACAATAGTTAGATTATGACAGCATACATGGCAGTAAAGTAGCCACTAAAAGTTACGGAGAATAAGAAAAGGACCACTTACAACAACGCTATTAAATTGCAATGAGATACACTTGAATAGGTCAACAGTACAGTACATACAATAATCCAGGAAAAGCATGACTTTAAGAAAGAATTCAGAAAAATTCACAGAAAATATGGTCAACTCAAAATGTTACCTGTTTCACTCCATAGATGCCTCCTTACCTGCTATCCTTTTCCAGCATTCTGTGATTTAAAGAATAGTTCATTCCTATTCATAGATTTAATCACACAGGAAAAAGTGCACTTGTTTGGTGGCTCATTCAGTGATTTTGATAGAGTCATAAAGCACAAAAACAGTGGTCCAACCAGTCCTTGCTGATTATTATCTCAAACTAAACTAGTCCCACCTGCCTGCACTTGGCCCATATCCCCCTAAACATTTCTTATTCATGTACTTATCTAAATGGTTTTTAAATCTTGTAACTGTACCCACATCCACCACTTCCTCTGGAAATTCATTCCACACATAAACCACTCTAGTGGGGGCAAAAAAATTGTCCCTTATGTCTTTTTTAAATCTTTCTCCTCTCACATTAAAAATGTGCCCCCAGTTTTGAAACCCCCCACTCAAGGGAAAAGACCATTCACCTTACTTATACCCCGCATGATTTTATGAACGTCTATAAAGTCACCCCTTAACCTCTTTCACTGGAGTCCCAGCCAATGCATTTTTATACCTCAAACCCTCTATTCCTGGCAACATCCTGGTAAATTTGTTTTGAACTCTATCCAACTTAATAATATACTTCCTATAAAAAGGCAATCTGAACTGAACACACTACTCCACAGAATCCTCACCGTCTTGTACAACCCAGGCATAAATTCTCAACACTGTCCCACTGCGTTAGAAATTCCAAGTTTAGAAGGTGCTGTCTAAGAAGCCTTGGTGACTTACTACAATGCATCCTGCAGATTACACACATTGGTGCCACTATGTGATGGTGATGGAGGGGGTGAATATTGAAGGTTGTGGATGGCATGCTAATCAAGCGGGCTGTTTTATCCTAGATGGTTTTCAGCCTCGAGTGTTGTTGGAGTTTCCATTCCACTTCTGACTTGTGCCTTACAGATGGTGAGCAGGCTTTGAAGAGTTAGGAGGTGGGTTAGTCAATGCAGAATTACTAATCTCTGACCTGGTCTTGTAGCCACAGCATTTATATGGCGGTTTCAACTCAGTTTCTAGTCAACGGTAATGTCCCAGATAGCAGGGGATTTAGCAGTGATAATGCCATTCAATGTCGAAGGGTAACAGTTAGATTTTCTCTTAGCGGAAGTGTTTATTGCCTGGGACTTGTGTGGCATGAATGTCGCTTGTCAGTGATCAGCCCAAGCCTGAATGTTGTCCAGGTCTTGCTGCATTTGGCCAAAGATTGCTTCAGTATCTAAGGAGTCATGAATAGTGCTGAACATTGTGCCACCATCAGCAAATATCCACACTTCTGACTTTACAATGGAGGGGAAGTCACTAATGAAGCAGCAAAAGGTGGTTGGTCCTAGGACATTACTACCAGGAATTCCTGCAGGAAATATCCTTGGAGACATGTGCCTCATCCGGGGCTACTTTCTTGCTGATTGAGCCACTTTTAGCAAGAGATTATTAATGGGAGCAAGGACAGGTTTTATCACCCACAAGCCACCCACTAACATTTTCTTCTTTGCTGAAGTTAGAAGGAATCTATCTCACTGTGGCCTACCTGTGAAAGTAAAGGTTATTAATACACAGTTATGCTCTTAACCTGTCTGAAAAGCACCTTTCCGTGCTTCCCCATCCAACAGTTCTGAATAGCAAATGGTGATTACGGATTCCTTGCAATCGTTCAAAGGAGATCTGGACAAGTTCCTGTAGTTATAAAAGTTAAAGGGCATCTGGGAATAATACTTCGAGAAGGCAGTGGGAACTTTCAACAATTTTTCCTCAAAATGGATACAGATTTTATCTTACCAGGTGACTGCATAAATCAAGGGGGATTTTTGGCTACATAATAGGTTGGTCGGATTGGTCTTTTTCTCCTCTTTGTTTTGTCCATATATTTAAGGTACTACCAGAGAAAATTAAACACTAGAATGACTCAGCAAAATCTGTAATTACCTATACTGATTTACAATTAGGAGTTAAAATCTATCAAATGCTTTCACAAAGGTGCAGCTGAGTAACTTAACAGTCCATTCAAAAATTTTAAAACTCTGGAAACAGATTAAAGTGCTATTCATAAATATACGTCATTTCAAACAAAATTTAGATAATGCTACAATTTGAAACACAAAGACATCTCCAAAACAGAGGGAAAACTAGGCTATGACACTTGATAAAAATCCAGCAATCGCTTTATATTGAGATTAGCAAGGTGCTTGCATGCCTGAGTAAATTTGCCAGACGAGCATTGAAAGGGTGTCCTAACCTTTATATAGATACCAACCATGAATTATGCACTGAATCTGACTGATTATTAGAAAAGATGAAAAGAACAAATAGGAACTGATGCATGGGGTGCATCACTATGCAGTCACTTGCTCGGAAAAACTTACCATGTGTATCTGTTGGTGGAATTGACGTAATTCTCTTTATCACGACATCACTTAATAAGGAGTGCTGCTCTTCGTTACACATCAAGCTGTCAACACTTTTACGCCACTTCAGAGTTAATCCACTGCGTTCCTTCACATTTGTCTGTCTGCACTGGAAAAAGCTGTCAAAGGAGCAACTCCTCTTAAGAAGATCCAGAACATTATCGTGTCGTTCATTTCCTGGCTCCATCATCAACCTAATATATTAATTTAAAGCTGACTTTAGTTTTCCTTTCAAATAATAAACTGGGTATTTTAGTTAGCTAAAATATGTAAATAAATCGAAAGGCAACATTAAAACAACCATAGTAAAAGAAGAAAGTGACAAAAAGAAATTTAGAAAATTGGATAAACCTAGATGAAAGTAGGTAGACGTTATATACGTAAGAAAATATCTCTTCAACCTATTCTTCCCCTGGGCCATTCTATAATCAAGTGGGAGGGATACCTAATAGCAAATGTGAAGTCTTACAGGTCAAATGAAGTTCCCTCATTTGATCTCTATTCTGTACTGAGTTAGCTAATCTTAGTCAAATGGTGGTAAAAGTACTACAACTGGTGTAATGAAGTCTGGTCAACCTGAAGAAGATAATAAGTCAAGCTCCTGCTCTTATTCATCCTAACTGATTTTTGCTGAAAAATGCAGTTGTCCTGCCCTTGAAGCCACCATTCTAACAGCAGTCAGAGGCAGATGCAAGTTCCTCAGCTTATCCAGTTTGAAGTATTCTGAACCAAGCTGTTAGGGAAAGATACCCACTCCATCTGGAAGAGACAAACCGCCTAAAGTTGGGTAATATTACAAAGATGCAACAAGTAGAAGGACAGGATGTGCAATCAGTAAAGACACAAAGCTTATCGTGGGTGACAAACTTTCTGAACTTTAACTACAGGAAGTTACTGCACATCCAAGACAAGCAATCTGTCAACCTTTAAAATATTCCCCCTTCAATGTGCGCAGAAATATTATAATTCAGAACTTTTATTTCCAGTTACAATGTAGATAAAGTCAAGGATAACTTATTGTGAGTTTTATCGATGGCTTTCTTCATCACAAGGTCCGTCCACAATATCGTGCCTGAATTACAAATTGATATAAACACTTTTTTGTAGCACTTTGTTCTCAAATGTTCTGGTTTTAAAAAATAGCCAGCAATGCAGCTTTATGCATTAAGCAATAGCTTATTCTTATTAAATGACTTTCAGTAATAGCTATGTATAGCTGTAAACATTTAAAGTAAGGACAAATTACAGATGAAGATGAGAAGGATCCATCTCTATTAGCACATCTGGCTTGCTTGAAAGTTCTCTTTTCAAAGCAACGGGGTTGAAAACTTAAAGTCAAAATTCAGTTTGAGTAGTTAGAGATTGCCCAAACAAGTGAACAGAGCATAACAAGTCCTTGGAGTGTGTTGTGTTCTTACAGCACTGCAAGTTGTGGCTGTTGGTAGACTGGTAGTGTAGCATCCTGGACACTACCTGTCTACCTTCTTGTTAAGAAACAGTGTTGTTTCAGAATTGTATCTGTATAAATATCTGGTTACAATCCCAAAATTACGAACTCATCTAAGGCAATCAACATTTCTGAGGAAGGGTCACCAGACCCGAAACGTTAACTCTGATTTCTCTTCACGGATGCTGCCAGACCTGTTAATGTTTGTTTTTGTTTCTGATTTACAGCATCTGCAGTTCTTTTGGTATTTAATCAACGTTTTAATTGTCTCAGCCATTAATGTGGATGAAACATATCCTGTCAAGTTGTTGGTGAAATGGCAGAGCTTTCATTGCTTCAGAGAAACCTGGTCAAGGATTTTCATTGGACTTCAAACTGACGTGTCAATTTTTTTGAGAAATGTACAGTCTTGCTCAATGTCAGCTAAATTCACAAAGATAGTCATGTGCTTTCTGAAAGCACATTTTGAGAAATTTCTTGTGTCAATTTTAAACACAAATAAGCTTTCTTTACAAAATATATAACTACACATCTTCAACACCCTGATCAGATTTTGGTTTCAGTTTAATTATTGACCACATCAGGTTAAATTTACAAACGTTAACTTTCCTTTTACCTTTGAATGTTGCGTTGAACAATCAGATTAAATATAAGACACAACAACCACCAAAATTATATACTCATCTTTATAAGCATAGTTCTTAATTAAGGTGGTTTGTTTAACTGGCTTGCCAATGTTTGCAAGGTGTGGAGATGCAGGTGTTGGACTGGGATGGACAAGGTCAAAAATCACACGACACCAGGTTATAGTTCAAGAGGTTTATTTAAAAACGCAAGCTTTCAAAGCTCAGCTCCAACCTCAAGCAGTGTGAGAGAGAGGGTAGAAGACACAGAATTTATAAGCAGAAAGGTAACAACCCTAAAACTGGCCGCCTTTTGTTGAATCTTTAATCAGTTAGGAAGGAGACTACTTATTAAAATGCAAAATCGAGATTCCTTTCAAGTCATTGTCCCAAGATAATTAAAGGTTTTATCAATGTATACAAGAGGTGACATCTCAAATCAGACAATGCATTCTAGGTGTGAAGTCTTGCTTAGAATCTGTCGATGTTTTAAAATGGGGTCAGGTTTTTTTTGAGCAAAACAGAATGTATTTGCAACCATCAAACATCTTGGATGAAATAATTCAGGTGTGTGTCTGTGTCTGTATATGTGCGTGTGTGCATTATATTATGTGTATGTTATGCATTAATAAGGAATATTATTTGGCTTCTTCCAAACTGGAGCATTATCTCGCACATTGCCGTTGACTGTTTTTTTGAGGCCCTATCTTCCAAGGAAGGTAAAGAATATGTTTTCACTTTCTCTTGCCCTACAGAAGTGGAATGAATCTGCAGCTCAGAGAATCACAGGATTTCCTAAGATATAGAGTTTACCATACACTGCTCACAAGTTACCTTGTGGGGACCACATTAACTCCAAAATGTGTTACAAGGGATTCCACTCTCAAATGAATAGTTAGCGCAAGACTCTTTGCAGCAGATCATTTAGGTCAATGCTTTGGTTGCAATCCATTGTGCCATCTACATTTGAGTCACAACAATCGAGAGGATGGTTACTGGGGAGAAAAGACTTTTCATCTAATGACACAGTTCAGGAATCCAGTGCTCAACACAGATTAGTCCTTGCTGGATGTTGCCACATAACATAACCACTGTCTAAATTCTTCCACAGTCTGGACAGTTTTGAGGAGGCCTTTGGCAGAATATCCGTCAATTTTTGTGGTGATGTGCTACATGAAACACACAGCACCTTTCTCACCACTATCCATGATCAACTCACCCCATCATAGCATCTTCTTGATCATGATACAGAAGTAAAGCCACCACAACATAAACATTTCAAAACAAATTAATTAAACCATGTCCTATTTCACACAAAGGTTAACAAATAACACTTGTACATTACCCCGGTGCTTACCTTCCATCCATCGTTCCCTACTTTGCTGCTCCTACAACAGTACCAGTCCAGTGCCTGGTGTAAGGCTTCGGAGGTTTAATGGATGAAACTACAGTTCACTTTTCAGAACAACCCTGAACAGCTCTGCCCCTAGAATGTTCAGCTTCAGTCTGCATCAGCTCTGCACTAGCAGGCTAGTTTACTTGCAACAGCACAGGATTAGCAAAGTGGAACTGTGGGTGAGCATCCGAGATAGGATGACATTTATGCTGCATGGAATCGCTGCCAATTCTCCAAGGCAGTGTATCAATCTAGTAATCTGCCAGAGGACACATGGCTGCAATGCTTGGCACTTGGCAACCCTCTTTGAACAGCGATACACTCAACAATGATGGTAGCAGGCTGAGTTTACATGATAGCTTAGAAACACAGAAAATTCATGGCACAGGAAATCATCATTAGTCCATAATGCCTGTAATATAAAAGCTAAAGAAAAAGTGCCATTTAGCCTAAATCCATTTCCCAGTTCTTAGTCCGTAACCATACAGGTTATAGCACTGTAGATACCTTTTAAATACTATGACAAATTTTGCCTCGACCATTTTTTCAAGTTGTGTGCCCTAAACAACCACAAATCTGAGTGAACGAACAGTTTCCTCAACTACTCACTAATCTTTTTACTGATGACTATAAATCTATGCCCTTGTTAGGCATGGCCTCACTACAAAGTGAAACAAACCCTTCATAATTTTGTAAAACTCAATTAAATCAGACCTCAGCTTCCTCTATTCCAAAGAGAACAATCCCAGCCTAATCTTTCCTCATGGCTAAAATTTTCCATTCCTGGCAACACCACCATAAATTTCCTCTGTATCACTTCTAATATGATCATGTCTTTGTGATTTGATAACCAGGTGGTTAACCTCCACCACTGATAGTTCAGGTTGAAATTCTTGGGTATCTGAAAAAAGACAGACAAAAAAAGGGTAGAGTTGTGGTTGCAGAAGGACAGAAGGGAATGCAAGAGTTTACACCATCTGCAAATTAGAAGATTGCAGGATGATGGTGCAGTAGGCATGAAAAGGAAGAGAAGGGATCAGATATGGTCATCTTTAATTATTTCAGCCCCTACACCAGCATGATTACTGCCCTAATGTTGATGAACATTGATTCCCCATCAGAGTCAAAATAAACAGCATGTCAGTTCCCTGCTGTTTAGGTCCCAATGCCTCCAGTTATGCATCATCTAGTCCTGATTAGAGAGTGGGTTCAGCATCAGTGAATATTGTACTTCTTTTCTGAGTGATGTCATTGCCTTTCTTGAATAGCAGTCAGCCCGAGATGAGGCTTGCATCAGTGCTAAGCATGCAAAGAGATTAAAAAGTGATATTAATCATCACTGATGGTAGATAGACATGTGATGCATGGAGCAGTGAGGTTAGTGATACAGTTTGTTATACAGCATTTAAAAATTAATTCATGACCTTGGCAATTCATGCAGGATCACTGAACTTAGAGTATCCAGGTCCACAAGGCTAGATCTCTGTTATGGTTCATAATGACTATCCAATTTAACTGCATTCACACAGTTTCTCTGAAAGGCCTACTGCAGTTAGGGGACCACATTCCTCCTGTCCAAAGCCTCTACCAAACCAACAGTTCTCCGATACTGGGAGCAGTGACTACACTACAATTGCATTAATGGGTGTATTCACCAGTTTAAGAATAACAAGGCTGCTGGAGTAGACAGTATTCCTGTTCAGGCACTGAAATGCGGAGGCAAAGAGC